GCAGTAATCCTTTAACAGTGGAACAATGTTCTTAAACATTTCTCTCTCTCTTTTTTTAATGAATTTATTTATATTAGCGGGGGGGGGTCAGGCACTGGAGAAATGGTAGAGATTGGAGTATCTGGATTTAGACTACAAGGAATTTGACTGGGGGAGAGAGGTAGTAGAGATAGGTTGGTTCAGGGTAGAGGGAAGAGATACTGGGGGAGATGCTGAGACTTCTTGAGAAGATGGGAGGGGAGTGGAGCGAAGTACAGTTTGTTTGTTTCTTGTCTGGCCTCACATAGAGTGAGGCCTAGTTTGAATCTGAGAACTGCTACCTCAGATTCAAACTTGTAGGTAGGGCAGCTTTCATAAAATACATTATGGAAGCCACCACAATTAGCACATGTGCATGATGAAGTAATTTGAATGGTCATGACCTGGTCAGGCACATAGAGGGCAGTGGGCTTTTTGTCTGGGTTTTTCAGAATGACTGGGATGGCCACAGGAAAGCCAAAGGAATATGCATCACATGGCAACTATGAGAACTACACTGTCAGGAACCAAATATATTATAAAACATCTGTAGGATGCAACAATTTGCATAACATTCTTCAGTGTACAGAAATACTAATCACTTAATAAGCATGTAATAACAAGTGTTTCTTTTAATATAGAATTGTAGAATTTCAGTTCTACAAATAAAAGATAAGGCAGTAATCCTTTAACAGTGGAACAATGTCTTAACATTCTCTCTCTCTTTTTTTTAATGAATTTATTTATTTTTTACTGGCATGTAAATCAGTCAGTTACAGTAATGAAGTTTTTAGTCAGTTGAAACTGTTTTCTGTTTCTTGTTATCTTATGAGAGTAACTTCTAATCCTTGTCAGGGAGGACCTATAAATTTCTATATAAAATGTGTTACTGCATTCTTTCTATCTTAAACAAAGGGAGTTCTAGTCACTTCCACCGAGTCTATAACTGTCTGTAAAACCTAACTATCATACACTAGTGGAATGTTTAGGTTAAGTAGATAAGTGCTTTCCATAAAATTAGTGTATATTTTGGTTGCCTAATTTCTTTGATCAAGCTTATAGTAAAGAGCTTTCTCTGGTGCTTGCTGCACTGTGAGGGTTGATTCTAATCTTTGTCAGGGAGAGTATACAAATTTCTAAATAAGATATATTACAGCATTCTTTCATCTTACTTATGGAAGTAGCTTCCGTATCCTGGATAAGAATTTCTAGAGTGTGAGAGTGAGTGAGTGTTCTGTAAACTGGAACTGGCCAGTTATAAGCAAAACAGTGGTATGTAGCATATACAGGTAACTTTTAATTTATGCTTGACTCCTCCCTTGCACAAGGTAACTGTACAAGGTTTATGAAGTAGTATGTAGTATATACAGATAATTATATTTGCATGTTACTTGGCCATTTAGCAGTTACTTTTAATTTAACCCATTCACCCCATGTGGCAAGAATACATGCCATGCCCATTGTAATCCATTTTTATTTATTGTATTTACACATAGATGGCTCTGCAAGTTTTTAATCAGCAAATAACCAGTTATCAGAACTACCTATCTCAGCTGTTTACCCTTTTCCTTCACTTTAGAAAAGGGTTTTTTGTATAATTTCATTGTCTAGAATATTTTAATGACAATTTAATAATCAATAACAATAATAACAGTATTGATGGCAATGGTATAATATGAAAAAAACCTTTTCCTGCCAATTCAAGGAATGGGGAAATCAGTATCGGTAACTAGGGCCTACTGATAGACTCCTTGCCGGCTGAGCACATGTGAAGCCATCTGTATGTAACGAAATTCACCAAAAACTACAGGGGACAGAACATAAATCCGGGGCAAATGGGTTAAGGTTGACTCCTCCCTTGTACAGGGTAATTTTATAAGGATTATGAAGGATTTTCTATTGTTTCTTTTTAGGGCAAATCTGCTTTTGTATAAGAAATTCTAGGGAAAGGCTGCTACAGAGTCTTTGGGACACTACTTATATTTGCTGCAGCAGATTAGCTTATTAACTCAATGCCTCCAAATGATGCATAGGTCACATCATGGCTGACTTGGTTGTGGTTCTAGGTGATGTGCTATTCCTGTCTTGGCTGATGTGGTCACAGAGAACAGGTCATTCATGTCATTATACTAAGATGCATGCATTACATATCATGCTGTTCTTTATAAGAGTACCTTGTAAAGAACATATATCCTGGGGCATTGCTTGAGGGAGAACAGAACTTGTTATGCTCTGATTTTTTTGTATAAAAAGGACAATATTTAGCACATAAATCAAGTTACTTCCTTTGCTGCTGATTTGAATCTGTAAATAACCTTACATGATCAGTCTTCATGTCAACTACTCTTGACTGTTACAAGGTGCTCTGCCAGTGTGACTGTCTTGAAGTATAACACGCAAAAGGGAAGTACTGAAGCCATGGGAGTAGATGATTTGTGAAAATGAAAGAAATGTTTTTGTCCCCCAATTAAACCACATTCCATCTTTTCCACAGAGTGTAACACACCTGATTTATTGAAACACTCTAATTTACATAATCAGGCTACTACAGGTTATATCTAGCAACCTTAAATAAATATCTTGCATCTCTGAATAAAAAACAACATTAAAATCATGTTCTGGATATCACTGATACAAAAAGAAATCACATCACTTTGACTGTACACTGCAGATAGTGCAATGCACTAGTCGAGTCTGAAATAGGCTCAGGAGGCAAGCCTAGTTACCCACACGTCCTCCCCAGAGTGGACACGCCCAGGTTCTCCCTGAGGCATTGGGTTAATCATCTGGTGAAATGAAGAATCACACAACATACAATTTGCAATTTAAAATGCTGCAGAACTAAAATCACCTATCAATTTCCAGGCTGCTCATATTTCAATTTGCTGGAAAGTACTACTGTGGAATGTTTTGTATGAATGACCTTGATACAACGTAGTACTTAATCTCTTTTATTTCACCATTGAGGAAAAAATACTTGATACTAATGTCATAAGTTCTATGGGTTATTCATTTCAATGCATTACACCTAATCTATAATTTCTTTTAAAAAGTTCCATAATCTAATATGTATTATTTACAAAGATGCTCTACAATCAAAACTAGATGTGCTATGTAATGCACACCAAGGAAATAAATAATAAATTTTTGTCAGACTATGAAAAAATGGAAGAGGACACAAAAGATATCTATGTTACCATCCATATGAATACAAAATCATTTTTTGTGTATAATAATGTAAGATCCTAGTCTTTATAAATATCTAGAAAATTATCTACATACTTTCATAGAACCTTGTGACATAACTCATCAATCAATATTCAGTAACATAACTCATCAATCAATATTCAGTAACATAACTATACCAAAAAAATTATCCCTTATAATAACTAAACATAATTAAAATTACACGTGCACATATACATACAGACATATATAAAAGTAATTAAATAAAGAGTTGCATGTTACAAAAAAAAGTCCATATCTATCATCCCCGCTGAACTTGAATTTGGAACTTGCAGGCAGGAAGCTGCGTCACTTCAGCTGTTACCACACAGGTGACACCCAGGTTGGCAAGGCATCCACGCACAAGTCCACATGTGAAGGCAAGGTACTATGGAAAGACAAAGAAAATTCAAAGTAACTTGGTAATAACATTCCATTTCTCGTAACCCTAAAACAGTAACTGATGTATTATGTCCTTACAGGGAAGGCTGGGTAGCATAACATATGTCCAAGGCTTTGGTGATAGAACTTTGCACACCCAGTCAGTATCAATTTGTAACTGATCCCTAAAATGCGATGTCATTGCCTGAGCTTTTGCAACACAATGTCTTCATACAAGGAAATTCTTCTGAATATTACAAATTTCAAATGCTTACCCTGGGGGCATACTGAAGATACTGCTTTCCTGTAGCCATGTGTGAGAGAAAACGGAATCTATTGTCATGAAGGACATAAACTCCCTGATGATTGGTTCGTAAGTTGTCAATTTGTTTCTTGTACACAGTTACCCATAAGTCTTTGCAGATGTATTTCATTATGTCTAATTCATCTTTGTAGCGGCCAGATTCTCGTGTCAACCTGAAAGTAAAACTTGGATTACCTATTTGTAAATTACAAATTAACACTACTATCAAGGATAAAGTCTGTACACAATCTTACTAATACTGTATTCTAACAATACATATTTCAAATAAAATACTTATATCTAATACAGTTGTGGTAGCATGAGCAAATTAGGAAAAATAGAATTCTAGTACTGTGTTTGGGTATTTTAAAAATTCAAAACATTACTGAGAAAGCAGATGAATGTGAACTAATGATATGATGAAAAAATCATAATAATCGTAAGCTGATATAACCAAAGATTATTACTTTAATTTGTTTTCCAATACTCAAGCAATATGGATTATAATACTAACACTAATATATAATAATGCCAGTCACAGGTCAATGAAATCCAGGAAAATGTTTAGATCATACCTAATTTATAGAATTAAAATTTGAATTTTCTTACCTTACCGATGCATCAGCCCTTACCTTTCTACTAATCGGTATCCAGTAGCAAAGCCCATGTGCTCAAGCTTTGATACTGCTTCATCCTGTTGTGGCAGAGGCAAAGAGTAAACTTAAAAGATTATAATTGTAATAGTATTATTGATATTATCATCATTAACATTAATACTACTATTGAGATTTTATTAAGAATAACTCATTATTCTCTCTTATTTTCATCATTCTATTCTGCCAGCTCTTATTCTCTCTGAGTCATCATCCTTCTTTTACTTGCTCTTTCCAAAAAGATATTTTTTTACACCCATCTGCTCACACCCTCGCTCACTCCTGCCCTTGCCTCCCTCTTTTACTTGATCTCTCCCTCACCTTATTATCCCCAAACACTGTGGATGGCATGGTGCTCACAGACACTGTTTTGTTGAGACTGATGCCCACAATGCTCAGCAAAAAATTAAAGCATTTGA